AACGGGACACGAGACGTCGTGGTCTTTGTGGGAGCCTCCCCGCGCAGCTCTGCGCCCCGGACCCGGGGACAGCGCGGGTTCCCGGCGCCTCCGACTTAGCTGGGTGCCGCGAGGCGAGTCTCTCCACCTCTGAACCTCAGTGTCCGGGTCTGTAAGGCAGGGATAGAGTCCCCACCTCTGCGGTCCCCGCGAGGATTAAGTGAGATGATCCCTTGAAAGCACTCTGCTCAGCGCCGGCAACAGAATAATCGCTCCATCGCTCTCTGGCGTTTTTGTTAATGATAAGAGGCGTTGGCCCACACCGCCCCCTGTGCCCCCCGCACCACCCCTGTCTCCCTTGACCACCCCTGCCCACCCTGCACCGCCTCTGTCCTTCCGCCACCACCCTGACCCCCGCACTACCCCTGACAGCCCTCATAGAAAGCAGGAGGAATGGGTCAGTGCTCTTTTTGGGTGGGGAAACTGAGGCTCAGGACCAGAACAGCTGCCTGTACATCTTGGCCTTTTCACTGTGAAGTCTGTGGTCCTCTCTGAGCCTCAGTTTCTTCTAAAGTGGTGATTTCAGATCGCTGAGTGGAAGCCAAGCCTCCGTCGCTTTGAGTCCTAGTTCAGGGGCTGGGTGGGGAGATGGCAGAGGGAACTGTTGTTTCTCCGAGATTTGGGGTGGGGGTGGGCTTGCCTGCAGGAGGGTGTGCGAACCCTGTGCTAGACCCGCCCCTCCCAGGGGGCCTTGGCTGAGGACAGGCCCTGCTTGGAGTGTGGCCCGGGGCTTCTGTCCCCTGTCCCCAGCAGGGGAGGCTTTCAGCCGCCCTGCCCTTCCCCTACCCCCTCGCCTCCTGGGTGGGGTGGGCAGGTAGTGAATCGAGCTGGGTTGGCATCATTTTTGCTGTCCACGCCCACACGGTTCATTGTCTCCAGATGGTTGTGAAGGTCCTTGGTCCCACAAAACCTCTGCAAGTTCCCATCAGGACCAGCACAGCTTGACCCCAGAGGCTGAGCATGGCTTCAGTGCAGGGAAAGTGGGGAGGGAGGACTGGGCCCTTTCTCCTTCAGTCCCATCTCCCTTTCCTGGGGGTGGGGCATTGTGTCTCCTTCATAAAGTTGGAGAGTCCCACTGGAAAGGGGATGCTGGTGGGAAGGGCAGGGTGGAGTTGCTCTTGATGAGAAGGTAGGAGGGGCTGGCTGCACAAATCAGCGAGGTCTTCTCTGGTGTGGGCACTGGGTCTTTCAAAGGCTGTTCTCCAGAGTCCTGTGTGCTGGTGTGAGATGTGAGTTGGTGGAGTGTTCACTTGAAGGGAAGGGAGAAGCTGGGGGCTGGAGGCTACAGATGCAGACACTCGGGGAAGGAGTTCGGACCCACACCTGCTGTGTGATCTTGGGTGGGTGTCTCAACCTCTCTGGACCTCTGTCAGTTGATCTGTAAGACAGGAGGTTCGGTCTAAATGATCTCTAGATTTGGACTGCAGTGCTGCCCTTGACGTAACTGGAATAGAGGTCTCCAGCTGGGCTGAGGGCTGGACCTGGAGTCCCTCCTTTCATGCTAGGGCTGCGCGTTTGTGGGTGATGAGTCCATTGAGGAAATGGAGTGGGTTGACTAGAACTATTTCCGTTCCCTTCCTCATCGTGTTACCCTTACTGCTGTCCAGTCCACAAGTGAGGTCCTTAACCAGGGCTTGGCGATTGAGTGAACTTAACAGTATAATCCAGTTCTATACATGCCACAGGAGTTGTTTTAAATTTTCTAGTAGCCATTAAGCTTAATGTGTGGCTAATTTCCCATCTCATTGTCATAAAAAGTTAAAAAAAAGCGAAATTAATTATAAGAGTATATTTTAGTTAACCCTTTATATCCAAAGTGTTCTTTTTAATACACAATCTAGGGGGAGGGTATAGCTCAGTGGTAGAGCACATGCTTAGCTTACACGAAGTCCTGGGTTCAATCCCCAGTACCTCCATTTAAATAAATAAATAAACAAACCTAATTACCACCACGCCCCGCAAACAACACAATCAATCTAAAGAAGTTGTTGAGATATTTTACGATTTTTTTCCACCACAGATCTTCGAAATCTGGTGTATCTTGTACTTACAACCCATCTCAATTTGGACTAGCTGTATTTTAAGTGCTCAATAACCACATGTGGCTAGTCTCCCTTGTCTTTCATAATTGCTTGCAACCTCAGTTTAACGCGTGCTGAATATTCCACCTCATCACCGTACCCTGCATTAATTTATTATTTCCCACTTTGGGACACTCAGGGTGTTTTCTGGATTCCCCTGCTGTGAATAACGCCACAGTTACATCTCTGCAACTCATACCTGTCCATTGTCAATGGACGTTGGGTGTTGGCCTGGCCCCTTGAGTCACCAGGTCCCTGTGATGCTCGCCGACTGCCCAGACTACAGTGACCAGGTTGAGGGCTCCCACGGAGATTGCCCCCACAGTGCAGTTCTTGCTGTGGTACTTGAGTTGCTCTGACGGCCAAAGATGGGGTCCCACTCCTTCCACGGCAGCGTCCTTGGGAAGTGGAAGTTGCTAGGAGCTTGTGCTGTGTCCTTCTCTTTGCTGGCTTCTCTTGGGCAGGTGACATTCACTGAGCCTGGCTTTCCTCCTTGTAAATGAGGCTGCTGGGTGGGGGCAGTGAGGCCCGCAATGGCCCTGGCAGGCCTTCTGTAGGTCTTGGTCCCCGTCCTGCTACCTGACATCCCTTCAGAGCCACCCGTCCTGCTCCGGCCGGAACTCTGAAATTCTGATGGTTGCCGGTTTCATAAATGTTTGTGGTTCTTAAGGTGATTAAGATAATGTATGTGAAACACTGAGCATGGTACCTGGCATATAGTTGGTGCTCCAAAGTGGTGGTTATTTATGTCATAGTTATGTTGTTATTTAGTCTGTCTCTTTCCAGAGAGGGTTGGAGGCAGTTTGTGAAAAGCAAGTTTCTCGAGATCCATGGGGCTGTCAGAGAAACCCTTTGGTCTTGGCAAAGCTGTCTCTGACTTCCGCAGGTGTCTGCATGGATGGGGAAGGGTGGGTGGGCCGGCGGGGTTGGTGGGCGCTTCTGTCCTGCTGGGTTACCATGGGAAAGGCCGGCACGGGGCTTCATGCAGTTGAGGAAGATGCCCCCAACCATGTGCCCAGCTTCGGCAATCAAAGCGCTTCCCGTACGTATAACGTCTCCTGTGATCCTTGGTCGTCCCGGGAGTAGCTACAGTTTATATTGCTGTTTGGGTTGCCTGAGGTCATAGAGCAATTGGTGGGATTCACACCTGGCTTTGTCTGGACTCTGCTTTGCTTTTCTGCCTCCCACATGATCGTGAGGAATCATAACAGTCACAGTCAGCTACGGCTGCAGAGGACGTATCGCACCGCGCCTCACACGATCGTCCGCTCCCCAGCGGGCGCACGGGCTAGCGTTCCCAGTCCTCCCTGCTGCCCACGCCCTCGCAGGCACTAGCAGGGCTCTCAGAACACACCGTCTGTGCATCCGCCTCCTTCGTTCATTCGCTGCCAAGCACGCCCCAAACGTTGTGGGGCTGGAGTGATGTCCCCTCGGAAGCCCACCTGCCGATTGTCTGGATGTTGAAAGTGAAAAATCAAGCTAACAAGCTTTCCCATGAAGCGGGTTCTGTCCTCCTTGACAGGTGTACCTCCACAGGGATAAAACTGAACGCTGTGAAATTGAAGGCTGGCGGGTATCAGAGCCAGCTGAGGCTGGGTAATTTTTACAGGTGTTTTTGGTATTTGCGGCTGGGTAGTGATGCTTGGATGAGTGATACAATAAAGACACATACAGTTTATCCATTATTATGCATGTCATATGATTTATTTTTCTTGACTTCATTGCAGCAAAATCATGGTTATTTCTAGTCAAGATTTTCACTTAAATTTGGGTTCTACTGACAGTAATAATCTGGTGTTCCGTCAAGGACTGTAGCACTAGCCACCTGTAGCTATTTAAAAGTAAATTTAAGGTCATTAAAGTAAAATAAAATTAAAAAGCTAGTTCTTCTCACTAACCACTTAGGGCCAGTGGCTACTGCATGGGTGACACAGACGTAACATTTCCTTCACTGCAGAAATTTGTCTTGGGGAGCCCTAGTCTAAAGGATTAAAGTGAACGATGTAATATAACCCTGCACCAAATATAAATTAAACCAAAGGTAAGAAACCGAAAAAAGTTTAAATAATTTTTAATCCTAAAATCTTCAAAAATTTCTATGAAATGTCAAAGGTGAAATATAAATTAAGATCAATAAGTATAAAATTTTGAAGTCAAAAAGTATGTCAGTCAAGCTGAAATATTTTATTTGATTTTTTTTGGGAAATATAATTGAAACATATTTTAGGAAAATGAAACTGCTCACTTCTAGAGTTCGGTGTCCACCTAGTTGCCAAAGTGAAGAACAGGACTCTTGTCTGAGGCAAGTTACGTCTAGTCCTGCACACATTCAAGTTCAGGAGTCACGTGAAATCGTTAATGTTTCACATGTTCCTCGGCTGCCGTGTGCACCTGCTGGGAATTCCAAGGCAATTCGTGAGTATTTTGAAACCTGAAACTGGAAGAGGAAGAGCAACAAAGATGCTTGGGATGCCTGGACTGTGACCCTTTTTTGGGCATGCGCCTATGGCGTTCATGCTCCCTTGAGAGGAAGACTTTTCCAGATGAACTCCAGTCGTCCCTTGGTGCCCCGGGAAGGATTGGTCTCAGGACTCCCACGGATTCCAAAATCCACGGATGCTTACGTCCCTTTCAGTTGGTCCCCCGTATTCGCGGGTTCTGCATCTGCGGATTGGAACTATTTTCTGCCCGCGGTTGGTTGAATACGGGGGATGGGGAGCCCATGAATACCGAGGGCTGACTGTAATTTGTCACTTCTCTTATCTAAGAGCTTCTGCTGCTCACATCCTGCTTGCTTCCAGTACCAGCAGTGGCATCACCCACAAACCTTCACAGCATTTGCATGCAAAGTTTTTAAAAAAAAAGTGTGGCAAAATATGCATAATGTCAATTTTACTGTTTGAACCATTTTTAAGGGTACCCTTCAGTTAAGTACATTCACCTTGTTGTGCATTTATCACCACCATCCGTCTCCAGGACTTTTTCATCTTCCCAAACTGAAACTCTGTCCCCGTTACACACTAACTCTCCATTTCCCCCTCCTCCAGCCCTTGGTACCCACTCTTCTACTTTCTGTCTCTATGGACTTGATTACTCTAGGGACCTCGTGAGTGGAATCATACAATACTTGTCCTTTTTTGTCCAGCTTACTTCACTGAGCATCGTGTCCTCGTTTCATCCATGTTGGAGCAGGTGCCAGAATTTTCTTCCTTTCTAAGGCTGAATGATATTCCATTGCATGGACATGCAACCATCTTTTGTTCCAAGGATGAAGGACGGGATGTGGAGAAGCACTTGCCTGGGGCCTGCCCATGTTATTCATAAAGTGAATGTCCAGAGTGACAGCTCACACTACCAGTGATGAGTGCTGGACCCCCCATGATCAAGGTGCTCAAGGGCTCCTTAGCAAATTTACTTGTCTGTGTCTGTGAGAGCAGGACCCTCTAAACTCTGATCCACAGCATACTCCACACTTTGAAAGTGCTGGCATCATCTAGCACTTGTTAGAAGTGCAGAATCTTGGGCTCCACTCAGACCTATGGAGTCAGAATCTTCATTTTCATAAAATCCTTCAGTGATTCATGTGCACAGGAACATTTGAGAAGCAATGGATCCAAAGGACAGGCTTAGGGATAGAGTCCCTCCTGTGTAAGGGTGGTGCTGCCTGAATATCACTCTAATAGATTATCAGATACACAGCAACCTGGTGCCAATCTCCCTTTGTGCCTATGGCAGACATCAGTAATCAACTGTGGAAAGTGCAGTCATTCTTCCCAGTGAGCAGAGGGAGCCTCAGATGCCTCAATGCGGCACTCCTGGCCAACAGAAAAGCAAAGCAATCATGTGGCCAGGTAGGTGCAATAAGAAGTGTGGATCGAGATTGGGTAGATGAATTCCCCAGTGCCCTAGACTGCCTCTTTGCCACTAATTTTTTCTTATTAATTGCTACCACAATAATGATATCTGCTGTTCCCCGAGTATTTTATATGTTCCACACTTTGCTCTAGCTACCACGTGCCAGGTAAGAATTATTAGCCTCATATTACAGATGAGGCTGGTCCGATGGCAGGTGAGAGGGACAGCCAGCTCTAAACTCAGATCTGTCTGACCTCAAGTTTGAGATTTTGCCAGTTCCTTCCTGCAGGGAACCCGGCCCTCCCTGCAGAGATCCCCAAGCTGCCAGAATGCCCAGCTGAGGTCCAGACCTCTGGATCCCCTTCCCTGGGGGTCCCAGCTACCCATAGCCAGATGAGCAGCAGGAGGGCCACTGGACTTGACTACAGAGTGCTGACTCAGCCCACAGAGGTGTGAGTGTGGACAGTGCCCACCACGACTACGTGAAGTTGCTTAGACAGAAGGGCCCCTGAGCTCGTCACCGAGTTTAGTGTGTTGGGGGATCCACGGGACTTGGGGCTGGAGGCCAGGCGGGAGCTGCAGCCTCTGCCCCTGCATCGCCGTTGTGTCAGTGATTCTCTGTGTCAGTGTTCACTCCATTCTTCACCTTCGTCTCTGTTGCTTTTCTCTGCCTCCTGCCTGCAGCTGCCTCACAGTTTCTGCTTCCTCATAAGCTCAGTTCCGTCATCCCTGTTGCTTGCCGTCTCCATCCTGCCCTGTATTTGATTTGCTTCCTTGGCCATCTCCCCCGTGAACGTGGGGGCAGGGGAGTGAGCAGGTGTATCTTCTCTGTGTTACCTGGCAGTGGACAGCACATGGTGAATACTAGAGAACTGGGAATGAGAATTGTTCAGTCCCCAGCACCTCCTTTAAAAAATAAATAAGTAAGGGGGAGGGGATAGCTCAGTTGTAGAGCACATGCCTAGCATGCATGAGGTCCTGGGTTCAATCCCCAGCACCTCCATTAAAAATAAAAAAATGAATTAAACCTAATTACCCCCCAAAATTTTTTAAAAGTCTCAAAAAATAATCCAAGTACCAAGTAAAAAGTTACTTACCTTACAGGAGATTTTGGTTGAACCGAAAATATAAGTATTTCATTGTGGTGTGCCTGAAAAGGAGAGGTAAAGAACACATTAAAAGAGCTTCACAGAAAGTTCTGGCAAAGTGTGACATGTTCTTTAATAAAGGGTAGTGTACTTACAGCTCTGTGATGGACAAAAAAGTTATTGGCACACACACCAAAAACAATGACTTCTGCCTCACAGACACAAGATGAATGCCAAAATTTACATTTAAAACAAAAGTTTGAGTTTTGAAGTCACTCAAAACACCAAATTGATAATTTATACTGCAGAATAGAAATGGTGAAATAAAGACTAAAGATGTTTAGTGCAGACCAAGACATAATGGAGAGGAGCAGCTGTCTCAAAGAAAAGCAGCAGGAGCTAGACAAATCAACGTCTGTTTTATCTGAATGTTACCATTTTATCTCAGTGGTCAGTTCCTAACTTATGCAGCGAGGTGTTTGAACTGAATGATCTGTGCTCTAGGTCTTTGTTAGCGATAAAAGTCTTATGCAAGATGAAAAAAAGAGAGAGAGAGAGACCTCCTGGGTCTGTTCCGGGGCCCCTCTGTTTAATGGCTGTGTGATCTTGGGTATGTTAATGCATGTAAACAGTGGGTGCCAATTAAATGATGGGTCGGTACTGCAGGACTGGGGCTCTTGCCGCTGTACGCGATGCTGGGGGAGCTGTCCTTTCAGCACCAGCAGGTCTCGGCTCATTGCCCTCTGCCTGGACCGGAAACCTGAGCTGACAGATATGCAGGGGGATGTAGGGAGTGAGATTTGTCCGGAAACTCCACTCCAGCAGCAGTGGAGAAATGCACCTTCAGATTCATCCAGACTCAGCCCAGCCCTCCAGATTTGTCCGAGGTCCCAGTCTCCAGCAGGGGAGTGTACGTCAGACAGGTCCTGTGTCTTTGCTCACCATTCCTCAGCCAGATCACAGGCTGCTTGGACCAGCAGTGGGCTGAGGGCTGTTCAGACCCCCTGTGTCCCCTGAGGGGTCGGTATGGTCTGGCATGTGGTGGGCATGCCAGACTTGTCCACTGGTTGGGCACCCACAGTTGGTTAGCTGGTTCACTGACCCATTCAAAACCTTGCTGAGAGTCATACGCAAAGCTTGCCCCCTTCCCTCCAGAAGCTCATACTTCAGAGGCAGACTCAGCTGCTAATAATATGTGAACAAATGCATGACTGAGCTGGTGATAAACATGCTGGGAGTGTAGGTATGGGTTCTACTTGAGTGCCTGGGTGAGGAGGGCTTTGAGGGTAACTTTGGGACTTCCAGTTACAAGTAACTGAAGCCTCAATTTGAACTGAATTGAGAGAGAGAGAGAGAGAGGAGGAGGAGAAGAGAAGGGAGGGAAGGGAAGGAAAGAAAGAAATGTGTCTAAAAGTAAATTAAAGTGTGGTCGGTTACGAGGTACAGCGTAG